TGTACTGGTGTTTTTCTCTTATTATTTTTCCAATATATATTTTTATTGAATTTTTGTGCGTTTTATACATCTTAATCATATTTAGACCCTCTCCCCTACCTGCACCCCCCCCTAATGCCCACCCACCAGATTTCAGGAATTCTGTTATGCATTAAGTCTCTCTCTTAAAGAAGACCAACTCTCCCTCACCCAGCAGTGATTGGCTGCCAATAGTTCCCTGGCTAAAGTTGGGGCCTCCTGCCCATTTGCCTAGTTCAATGCTGGGTTTCTGTCTGATTGAGTTGCACGGGTCTTGTACGTGCTGACACCATTGCTGCAAGTTCATATGAGCAAGTTCCCAGAGGCCTGGAAGCCTCTGTTTCCTTCTTTTAAACTCTAATAAAATTGTCCTTGAGTTTAGCAAAAAAATAAAAAACACGAAAACCCTGTTTTTACAAAACCTCTGTCTATAACACATCTTTTAAAACATAGTTATGCTGGGTGTGGTTGTACATGTCTTTGATCCCAGCACTCAGAAGGCAAAGGCAGGCAGATCTTTGTGAGTTCAAGGCTAGCCTGATCTACATAGTGAGTTCCAGGTCAGCTGGGGCTATAGGGAAATCCTGTCTCCAAAAAAACCAAAACAAAAAACCCCAAGTTATATGTGTTTCTTTGGATTAATAAACAAATTTGTGGGCTGGAGACATAGCTCAGTTGATAAGAACACATACTGTTCTTAAAGAAGTCCCAAGTTCAATGCCTACCAACCACGTCAGGCAGTTCACAACCACCTGTAACTACAGTTCCTGATGATCTGAACACTCACGTGCATACACCCCCACACAGACACACACATATACATATAATTATAAAAAATTATAAAAATAAACTGTAAAAAAGAAAAAAAAGTGTATAGACCAAAAGTAAAAGTACCTTTTGCTTACTGTACAGCTCTGTAAAGCCCAAGAAGACCAGATCTGGCTGTGTTCCTCTTTTAGTTCCCACTGACAGCACACTGCAAAGGAAGTAGTTTGGTGGAAACTGCATAATACTTGTTTAATGTTCATAGAGAGTAAATTCTGTGCTCCCCAGTGAATACTAAAACCCCCAGATGCTCAGGTCCCTCTGATGTATAGCTGTTTTCTCTGAACTGAAGCATTCTTTCCCAGAGGGAGGTAAAGGAAACTTACAAGAAAGTTTCCTCAGGAAGCTCAGAAAGTTGTGTCTCACAAGGTCCTGTCCCAAGGTTATATAAGCCATAACAACTGCCAGGAAGGGAGACTCTGATGGAGAGGACCACAGTTTGGACAGGGAGCTCCTAGGATGAAGCTTGTGTGAGTCATCACACATCAGAGTGGACTTTTCAGGGAGCCAGCTGCCTCTGAGTTGCCCACACTCCTGTAAATAACCGCTCACCCTTGCTCCTCTAAACCACCCCGTCAACTAGTAGATTCATCAAGGTTGACTTTGTTTGAATCGTTATTTTTAGTCTGTTGTTGGTGCCCTATCTGCGATGAATAGACATTTGTTCATATTTCTCCAGGAAAAGTCATACAACCCCCTTCTACAACATGACACACTATTAGTATATAATCTACATACACCCTCCCTAGATACAATGCAAATGTAACCTAATACAATGCAAATGCTATGTAAATATTTGTTGTATTGTCTAGGGATTGACAATTAAACACCTGTCCATGTTTGGTACAGACACAATTTTTTTCAAATATTTTCCATCTGTGGTTAGTTGAATCTATGGATCAGAATCCACAGATACCTAGGACCAACTATTAAAAGAAGCTTGGCTCAAAGCACATGATGTTACAGTTTCTTACTTCCTGCCCACACTTAGGAATCTTCTCCAAATTCAGAGAGACGAGGAAGGTTACATGAAGTCATCACTGGATGTAGGAGACATAGGCTCTAGACTGGCTAGATTTACAGTGTGGCCCCGAGAGAGCTGTTTTCTTTTCTGGGCCTAAGATTTGCCTTTGACAGGAGTGTTTTAGAAATGTTCAACACTTTACCACTCAGAGTGTTTTCAGTGGAAAACCTCACCTGGAAGCTGGAGGTGGCACCGAAGCTCAAGTCCTGCTCCGGAACCTTAGACTAAGAACGTGCCCGGTGCACCTCCTGCCCCCCAGGACCTGTGTACACTCAAATTTAAGAAGCAGTAATCTGATACTGCCGGCTTCCAGGAGCTGTTCAGTTGGCCTGCATGTGGGTGCCCTCTACTGGCTCAAAAGGAAACATTTTCTTTAGGAAACATAGTTTATATATGTGTAATATATGTATATATAAATATATACATAACAATAACGAAGAGGTCATGAAGTTCAGAGGGAGTGTGAGGGGGTGTGGGAAGAGTTGGAAGGGGAGAGAAGAGGTTGGAAGTGATGTAAATACAATACACATGTATGAAATTCTAAGTGAGGCTGGAAGCTTCAACACCCAAACAAGGATGCAGGGATTGTGGTTGCTTATAGGGGAGGGAACAGAATCCAGAAGAGGTTGTGGTTGACAATGTGGCTATAGACATGGCTCCATAGGGAGCGGGACATTTGCAATTCATTCTATGCAACCTGTGATTCCCAGAGTCATTCTGAACTGTAGCAAAGGTCATGGGTACTCTACTGTTTGCAACTTATTCATGGGAACAGAGCCAACCCCAGAAGGACTCCGAGGTGGGTGGAGGAGTTCATATTGAACAGCATACAGGTAACAAGGGTGGGGTTTTCAAACAGTGCATTGGAGTCTTCTCTGTCTCTCTCTCTCTCTGTCTCTCTCTCTCTCTGTCTCTCTCTCTCTCTGTCTCTCTCTCTCTCTCTCTCTCTCTCTCTCTGTGCCCTTAGGCAGTTGAAGCTCTCAGTCTTCCCACTTTCTCATCTTTAAAGTGAATAGTAGTTTAAAGTGTCTAGAAGCAGGGGGCCGAAGATAGGTGAATCCGAGTTCGAGACCAGCCTGGCTACATAGCAAGTTCCAGGCTAGGCAACCAGCCAGGGTTACAGGGAGACCCGATCTCAAAAAAAAAAAAAAAACCTGGACAGTATGATAAATGAACTTTTTACTGAATAGTCACAGTTTTCATGGTTTGGGCATTAATTCTCTTTCCAGAGAGCTATACTTTGAACTGAATATAAAAGGCCAATGATTTCTGTTTAATAACCTTGCCTTACATCATTAACTGCCCCCCATAACCTGATTAAGGCAAAGTCCTTTCCATGTTCCACTTCTGCTTTGTTTTAAACAATTCACACAACGATGCATTTTGATTTGATCCTATAGTATGCCTCCTGTCAGAGTTTTGTACAGTATTTCATGTTATTTGATTGTTGAAGGCCTTTAGCTAAATTAACTTAGCCTTGACTGAGATGCCATGTTTCCTGAATTCAGTGAGTCATTTAATCTCTGGACCTTGGTTTTATCCCTGTGATCCAGATGCTGATGCTTAAGAGCAATAAGCAAGTGGGGAAAGACTGAAATTGGTCTCATGGTGAGAAGGAGCTAGCGCCGGTGAGTGCCGTGGGAAAGTACCTTGCACTTGGCTGAGTTTGAATCAGGAGCACTTATGTGATCTATATACTTTTTGAAATGATCTCTTGCCTAGTAGCTGAAAAGCCTCCTCCAAAAAGTTGTGCAAAGCTCTCAGCTTGAAAATACTTCCGAGCTTTGAGTCCTCAGTAAAGACAACTCTCTAAGTCAGCTTTCTGACACTTCTTGGTGTCAAATGACACATTTGGCCTCATTCAGGAGCAGTTGAAAGGGTAGCATTTTCCACACCATCCCCATCTCAGAAAACAGCATCCTAGGTGTTAACCTTGGATTCTCCTTTCCTTCTCCAGCCACACTAATTCACCAAAAAATGCCACTGGATGTTCAAGGATGGAAGGTCTTCATTACCTCCAGCCTAGTTTAAGTCAAATCTGAGCTAGGCCTGGATTATACATCTATAATCCAAGCATTTGAGAGGCTGGAGTAAAAGGAGTACGAGTTGGAGGTCAGCCTTGGCTAGTTAAGTTTTCCAGACCCATGTAGCAGGCCACTACCCGGAAGGAAGGAAGGAAGGAAGGAAGGAAGGAAGGAAGGAAGGAAGGGAGGAAGGGAGGAAGGGAGGAAGGGAGGAAGGGAGGAAGGGAGGAACGGAGGGACGGAGGGACGGAGGGACGGAGGGACGGAGGGACGGAGGGACGGAAGGAGGCACAGTACAGATCCCTCTCCTGACTCTTGAGTGGGCACTGCCATATGAGCATGTTATGATTTGAATGTGAATGTCTCCTAGAGGCTCATATGTTTGAACACTTGGTCCCAGCTGCGGGGAGCGGAGGGGAGGAGTACAGCTTTGAGGTGTCAGGCTGGCTGTTTCCTGTCCTAGGTCTCAACCTTGGATTTTCCTTTCCTTCTCTATCCACACTAATTCGCCAAATGTGACTGCACGTGCAATGTGATCAGCTGCTTCAGGATCCTGGTACCATGCTACCCCACCATGATGATCTATAGCCACTCAAACGATAAGCCAAACAAACCCTCCATTAAGCTGCATCTTGTCAGCTATTTGATCATAGTAATGACAGAAGTTAACTGTCAACAGGGAAGTCGTGGTTTTTGTGTGTCTGGCAACGATGGTCCATTGGTAAAAGCTTGGTCACAAGCCTTTGGATGGAAGGGAACCTTTAGAGAGTGGGGCTTTGTGGTAGAAAATGAGGTCACAGGGGACTGACCTTGAAGGGGCTATTAGAACCCCAGTCTTTCTGCTTCCTAGTCACCATGAGGTGAGTAGGCCTCCTCGGCCATGTGCTCTTGCCATGGCCCAAATCAACAGGACTAAGTGGCCATAGACTGGAACCTCTGACACCATGAGTCAAACTAACTTTTCCCTTATAAAGCTGATTGTTTCAGGCATTTTGTTACAATAACAGAAAGCTGGCTAATACATGTCTGACATGTGGGAGCAGGAGGAGAAAAAGTATAGCAAAGAACCAAATGTTTAATAAAATGCTACAGCAAATGAACCACTGAAGTAAAAATTGCACAGAATGTTTAATTTTACTTTGTAGTCCTTCAGCATGTTTATTTTTTAAAGAAATGGCTTAACAGAAGTTTTTAAAAAATATTTTATAATTTTCTATTTTATGTGTATGAATGTAATGTCTACATGTATATAAGTACACCTGTGAGGTACAATGCCTGTGGAGGTCAGAAGAGGGTGTCGGATTCCCCTGGCACCAGAATTATGGATGGTTGTTAGCAGCCACTGCTCTTAACTGCTGGCTATCTCTCCAGTCCAGGATATGTCAAAGACGATGGCATTCAACAGTGACAGAGGAATGGCTAGAGGAATGGCCTCGAGACTTTCTAAAAGATGCTTGGCTGAATGGTTAAGATCACTTTTCAAAATTTTAAAGGCCATTATTCTCAAATGTTGCTCTTCATTTTGATAAAAAGTGAGTAAGGTAAAAGAGCTGGTTCTGGCCGGAGTACTTTTTAGCCTCTTAGTTCAAATGAGTAAAAAGCCAAAAACACCCCCAACTAAATCTCAGAAACAATCCACCATTGCTCCCAGCTGGGGCCTTGGGCCGAGCCCTGAGGCTCTAGGGGTCAAGTTCCCCAGTTCTAGAGGCCCAGGGCTCTGCTGGGCTCAAGACTACATACTGGGGAGCAGTGGAGGTGGAGGTGGGGAGGTGATCTGGCCACTGCAGGAGTTGACACAGTGAGTGAAGAAGCTCGAGCACACCTCCAGCCCCCAGCCACAGCATGAATGTGACCTGAGAGCTTGCCCAAGATGCTTAGAAAACAATCTGTTTCCATTCCCATCATTTCTGGTATGGCCCCTTGAAGTGTGCAGACTTCATCTCCAGCTGGCAGTCCGTGTTACTGTTTTGCTCCATTGGTGGTCTATTGGGTGAAAAGACAACATGGTTAGCTCAGGAGCAATGCTTCAAGTGTGAATGCCTGGTATCCCCACCTGGTTTAGTTCTAGCTGCTTCTCTCAACCATACACATTTGGGGCAACATCCACTTGATAAGGAACTACAATGCCTATGTGAGAGGTGAGGTTATGGCCCCTTTTCGCTCTTCCAGTGGCAAGATACAGAGTTTTCCCCAATTGTCTGTGCCTTTGCAGCAATCTAGCAAGATAGAGCAAGCTGTCTCACCAGTGGGAGAAAATGATATTGAAGTTGAATATCACAAAATAATTTTTTAAAAGACATAGTTGGGATTCAGACCATCTTCTGATTCTAATTAATTTTCTGACACCTTCAACAGAAAGAAGATAGAAGGGACAGGAAAAACAAACTGGTCTTTCTTAGTCCCTATGGTTGTGGGCTTCAGAGGACCTGAATAGGGAGGCTACTGATATCACCTTAATTGTATATATAGGTATCTTTGAATTTCAGTTGGCTGTGGCATCAGTCACCCACATTGGGTGCCACATCACACTCCAGAGTTTGGATGCAACACTTCCCTAGTGCCCATCTCTCTTGAGTTCCTTCTATAGAAGGCAAGAAAGCTAAACATTCCCAGCATTGAGTTGCTACCCGACAAAGTTCTGGCCAGTGATGTCTGTTTAAGGAGAATGGAGATAGGTCCAGGGAAAGACTTCACTTGATAAAAAGGGTCAGATCCACGTGGTGAGCACTTTTTTTTCCTCCCTTTATCCTGCCTTGAATATAGGTTTATACCTGGAGCTGAGGCAGATATCTTATGGCTGTGAGGAGACAAATCAATGGGCTAAAGATGGAAATGCAGAAAGCCAGAAGGTACGTTGCTGATACCTCAGAGTGGCTGTACCAGCCCTGGCTGTCTCCATCTCTTTGTTCCACAATCAAAATAAAATCCTATTTGTTGATTTGGTGTTTACCTAAGTGAGTTTTGTTTTGCTTTTATTACTTGCTATCTAAGCACAGCTCCGGGGCAACAAAAAACAAACAGGGCATAATGGTTTATGCCTTTAATCCCAGTCCTTGGGAGGCAAAGGCATGTGGATCTCTCCAAGATCAAGGCTGGCCTGGTCCACATAGTGACTTTCAGGTAGGCTGGGACTAGGGAGAGACTGTCGAAAAAAGAAACAAAAACAAACAAAAAAGAAGCCTTTCCTCTTCTTATTCTTTGTAAGTAAAGATATGTGGAAACAGCTGGGTAGTGTGACTCCGTTCTGTAATCCCAGGTACTCAGGAGGCTGAGGCAAGAGATAGAAAGCTCAAGAATAGCCTGAGCTACAGAGAGAGTTCAAGGTCAACTTGATCAATTTAGCAAGACCTTGTCCCAAAATTAAAAACAATAATTTTTAAAGGGTTGGGGATGTAGTAGCTCAGTGGTAGAGTGTTTGCCTAGCATGCCTGAAGCCCTAAATTCAATCTCTAGTACTAAGTGAGGGGGTAGAATGCGGAAGCCAGGGACACTCTGGCTGCTTTGACAACCTGGTTCAGTGTGATGTGGAATGAATGACTGAATGGCTCCACAAAGACAAAATGCCCTGGCTCCCACTTCCCCGCAGCCTGCAGGCCCTAGGAAGTTTCCCTTGCCCCTTCGAGGTTATGTTTATCTCCAGAGGTGGCAGATCATGATGTATTTCTTTGAAAGACTATCCAATGGGTTTTCCTAAGTAAAGTTTTCTTAATAGCTTTGTTTCCTTTTTCTTTAAAAAAAGAAAAATAACTTGAATTCTGTTATCTTTTATGTTTTAGGTTCAAAGCATGCTAAGTTGTGAGATGAATTGGATGGCTCCTTTTCAGGGTCACTCAGTGAGGGACTAACTTTTTCTTGAGTTTTAAAGATTTCACTAATGCAGGGTTTGCAAAGGATAGCTAACTGGTCTTAACATAGCACATTCCCTTTCCATTCTTGTCATCTAACAGGGAAATAATGGAGTTCTTCACAGCACACATGTGAGATCTGCATGACCCAACCAACTAATGCTCTCCTAATGGCTGCACACCCTGCATGGTAAAGATCAATTTAGAATGAGAGACAGACCAACAGATTTTTAATATTAGCAAAGTGATAATGTCATATTTCATTTTCATTGAAAGAAAGTTTCATTTACAGAGTGATGGTGTACCATCAGAGAACATCTACAATCATCTGGAGTAAGCCTTCCCGCTTCCCCAGATGTGTATCTGTGAGGATGCATATCAGTCCTCTTCAAATAGTTCCAGGGGCACCAATGCAAGTGTATAAGGAGAGCCCAGCTGCTTCTATTACAGCAAAGAGACTCGTGACAGCTAGGTGTGGTGCTACGTATCTGCATCTGTAGTTCCAGCACTTGGAGTGGGGAGGAGCTGAGGCAGGAGAATTGGGAGATTGAGACCAACCCAGGCTGTATAATGAGTTTCAGGCTACCCTGGGCAGGGGGGCAGGGCACTAGCAATAAAACAAAACAATGTGATTCACTAAATTCATTTTGTTTGGAAAATACAATTGATTTTCATTAAACGTTTTTGTATCAATGGGTAATATTTTTCTTTTTAAGCAAACAGTTGTAAAATTTCTGCTATAATTCAGGCTGGATTGTTATCAAAACACTGAATCCACTCTTTGGATGCGTCAATAACCTTAAATACCCGAAAAGAAAAGTATAACCAATGATCAAAATGATCAGTATAATTCTTTAAGAGTCTATGTGTATAGCTAAAGACTACATAACAAGAAACAATGCCAGACAGGAGATACCTTCCTTTGAGTTGTTGGCCAGGATGGCCCAAGAGACTCCCAGACAGTAACCCAGTATAGAACTGGGAAAATGAACAGAAGACACCAATCTTATCTAAAGGAATATTGATAACTGATTACTGCTAGATGAGGAACAGCTGATCTTCCTATAACAAGGAACTCTAGATAGGGTGACTAGATTCAGCGGATGGACAAGCACTGTGGGAGGGCTATGGGAGGTGCCATTTGAGATGTGGGTATAAAGATGAATAAGATTGTCTTGGCTGTTCTGTATGAAATACACACACACACACACACACACACACACAAAAACAAAAAAACAATAAATAAAAAAAAGAGAAAAAAAAGAAAGTCAAATGAGTCTTGAGAACAGAAACCTTAAGAATCTCTGCCCAACTTGAAACAGAGGGTCTGAGTGCCTTGGTTGGGAAGAGGAGGGGGGCAAAGACCAAGCCCAGTCTCTTCACTGGCAAATACCATTCTGATTGACTTTTTCTTTTTCCTTAAGGCATGTATATCTATGTACATGTGTACAAGGGTGCACATCTATGTGTAAGCGTACATCCATCTTCTGTGTGTCTGTGTGTGTGCATATTTGCATGGAGACCAGAGAGCAGCTTTACATGTCATGTTAAGGAACACTGCCCACCTCCTAGGGTCTCACTGACCTGGAGCTGCTGATTAGGCTAAGCTGGCTGGCCAGCAAGCCCCAGGGATCCAACTCTCGGCCTCCCCGCTGCTGGGATTACAAATGCACACCATGTTTGATATTTTTATGTGAGTTCTGGGAATCCAAACTCAGATCTTCATGCTTGTGTGGTAAGCAGTTTACCAACTGAGCTTTTTCCCTAGCATCTGATTTTGCTGCTTTCTGTGTTATAATTTTTAAGCACTAATTAGAGTTGGATTCACAAGCAAGGAGGGGTTTGGCTCTGAAACATTGCCCTCAGTAAGCCAAACAGGGCACTGTCTCCTTTAAAACTGATAATAATCAAAGAATTTATGAAAAGCTGGTTATGGTCCCAGGGATATCAATTAAGCAATCTTGTGAGAACAACCCTGAGCACTTTAAGATTATAGATACAGCAACATATGAATAATGACAGGATAACCTTCTGGGTGTGTGCGTGGGAGTGCTATAAATCAAACCCAGGACTTTGAACATACTAGGCAAGTGACAGGATTAGCCCATTATTAAGAAGTCCAAGAGGCTGGAGAGATGGCTCAGTGGATAAGAACACTGATTGTTCTTGCGAAAACCCAGGTTCGAATCCCAGCACCCATATGACAGCTAACAACTGTCTGTAACTCCAGTTCCAGGGGATCCGACAGTCTCTTCTGTCCTCCGCAGGCATTGCACGACATGGGTGCACTTACCAACATGTAGGCAATACATGCATACACAAAAAATAAAAATATTTTTTAAAAAGGGGGCTTTAAAAAATGTTTAAAAAAAAAAGTAGTTCAAGAACTATTCAATAAGAAGACCCACATTCAAAGTAGAAGTACTTTTTTGAATTGGCAAATCATGGACTATGGGCCAAATCCAGCAAGGCCTCTGCTCTTATGTTTATTTGTTTGCTTACTTGCTTGCTTGGTTTTTATTTATTTATTTTTATGTGTATGAGTGTTATGCCTGCATGTAAGTGCACCCATGTTGTGCAGTGCCATGGAGGACAGAAGGTGTTGGGTCCCCTGAAACTGGAGTTACGGATGGTTGTTAGCTGCCATGTGCTGGAATTCGAACCCAAGTCTTCTGCAAGAGCAGTCAGTGCTCTTAACAACTGCGTCATCTCTTCAGCCTCAGGCCTCTGTTTTTGTAATGTTTGAGTAAAGATTTATTGGAATACAGTCATACCCATTCATTTGCTTATTATCTGGGTGCTCTGTTCTCCTGTTACATCATCAGAGTTGAAGAGTAGAGGGAGGATGACCAGGGTCTAAATGGCCTAGAACATTTACTGTCTGTCTCTTTCCCACGATTTTTGGCCTCTTCCCATGTTCTAGACATTTTATATTTTGACTAAAGGGGCTTCACCAGAGCTATCTGGCCTAGACTCAGGTCCCTTCTCTGCTATTCTCAGCCTTGGGAGTTGGCTTTATTTTCCCTATCAGGGAAGAAGGCTCACTGCAAGGATTACATGAGCTGAGGCTGGAAAGTGCTTAACAGAGACCCTGACACAGAGCAGGTACCCAACAGGCCTTAGCCACAACCATCAAATTAGTGAAAGCTTAAATGAACACAACATGGACCGAGTACATGGGAACTTAGAGTCTAAAATCAACACAAAGCACAAAAATCAGGCATTGAAAACCCTTCATGCCTTGGAGGGCAGGTGGTGGTTCCTTATAGGCAAACACAGTGTGTCCCAGGAACTTCAGTACAGCAGGGTTTTCCTTCTAGCACCTAAAAGGATCACTGTTTCTTTAGTCAAGACCTGGAGGGACTCATATTCTAGAAAACAACTCCATATAGTACACATAAGACATACTCAGTGTATTGAGCAGTCTGAAGAGCCGTGGAGGTCAAGACCCTGTGGGGATGGCAGTGTCCCAGCTCCTGCACCACTGTGGATTTGAATGGTGAGTCACTTTTCTCCCATTGTTTTCCTCTCCTTATCTGCCCAAACCTCCCCCTAACTTGACTTTTGTAAATTAAATGAGACATCTTTTTAGAAGAATCCATAACCTCCTCATCACCCTACTACGGAAATGAAATGAGCTGTGTGTGATGGACAATGGTAGTAATGGGCTTTGTACGAAACTACTGTAAATTCGTATCTGACATCTGATGTCTATGGGCAACTGTGAGAAACATTTGTCTCTTAGAATTTGGCTTCAAGACAGTAACTGGGTTTAGGGTGTTATCTGCATTAATCTCCTAAATGGCCAGAACTAAGTTGTTCCATTGACATGTATTTACCTGGGAGAAAACCAGTAGCTGATGAGACAGGAGATCACTATGTAAGACACGGTGACCATCGCTGACATGGCCAGTGATACGAAGCCCAAGCCACAGAGGACACAGAGCAGTGAGAGGCCACACACAGAGATGACCAGTCCTAAAAGGAGAAAGTGGTTAGGAGATACTTTCACCTGAAACAGATTGAAAATGAGAAAAATCCCAGGCCAGTGTATTTAAAATAATGACAGCTGAGCTGGAGAGATGCTCAGAGCTTAAGAGCACAGGACCAGGGTTTGGGTCCCAGCACCCACATGGCAGCTAACAACTATCTGTAACTACAGTGCCTGGGGATCGGATGCCCTCTTCCGGCCTCTGCGAACATTGCACAATGTAGGTGTACTTAACACACATGTAGACAAAACACTTATACCCATAAAATAAAAAAATAAGAAAAATTCCAAAAATAAATAATGACAGTTAACTTGGACTTTTGAAGTAATATATCCTATAAAAATCACATTTCTAACATTATTTTAAATGGCAGTGATTTCAACACCTGAGTGGGCCTCAGTGCATGGCATCCATTGGGCTGGGCCTCTGATTATTTCCAGTCTCTACTGTTCATAAACTGTATTACACTTGGGCCTCTGTGCTCATCTTTATAGCCTGTCCAGTTTGAGGCTCAGAAGGGGTAAGTCAATGGTGATGGTAGGATGCTTATGTAATATAAGAGTCGGTGTTTAACTACTCTGACAAGCTGTCTTGTGTCAGAAATAGGAATGGCAATTGCCCAATAAATACTGTCCAACCCACTGAGTTATTTCCCAATAATCTTGAGCAGGATACCTTCCAGTAATACAGCTCCCACAAGAGCACCCAGGGAGGTGAGCACCACAATGATCAGGAAGAAGGCAACAGGGATGGCTGACATGGTGGCAAATATCAGCATGGTGAGAGCCAGGAAAGGATGCCTATCCAGGTACCGAGCCACTGGAGACTTCATAAAGGCAACCACCTGTGGCAAAGGACAAAAGAGTCAGGGCTGAGCGCTGTGTCTGAATCCCAGGTTGAACTAACTGATCTGCCCCAGTTGTGGGAAATACAGCCAGAGGCTGGCAAGTCAGAGGCTCATGAGACATCACTACAACTCTTCTCCCAAGACATGAGTCACCCAGGTTGGTAGCAATATAAGGGAGCTGTGAGACAGGTAACAAGTGTGAGGTCCCCACCCAATGTCAGGTCCTGTAAGAGGAAAGATCGTATCACAGCTCTCTTGCCCAACCCATGCCTCTCAGAGATACCTCCCAGCTTATGTGTGCAAGGATACAATGTATATGCAATGTGCCTACTTTGCAGCTGAGGTTCTCATGGCTGAGATCACCAAGGAGCAGAGGGGTTAAGCCCTAGCTACTCAGCATCACTCAGGAGCTTGTTGGAGGTGCAGAACCTCCCCACCCTGCACCTGTTAGATCCAATTCGCCTTTGTCAGCAAGAGCCAGGTGATTTGCATGTTTGTTAAAGTTTGAGGTGCAATTAACTGTCTTATTCGGTGAAGCCCAGCTTCCAAAAGGCAAGGCCTAGGCATTCAAAACTATGGCCTTTGACTCCAAGGCCAAAAATGTCAAAAGTATTTGGAAGTTTGTATCTAACCCTTAAAAGATTTTAGGGTTACCTCTTCAGAGGGGGAAATGTTGGTGGAGAGGGAGTGGGTATGGATTTGATCAAAACACCTTATATGCATGTATGAAATTCTCAATAAAGTTTTTGTAAAAGTTAAAAAAAAAACAAAACAACTATGGCCTTTGACTCCAAGTGCTAAATGCAGGCAAGAGTTTGCCACCTCATCAGTGTTTTTATGCCACCAACCTGGGTGTCATAGCCTGATGATGACAACCAAGTACATGTTGTTTCATAAATAGGAGATAAACTATTCCCCATGAAAATTTGGCACCTTAATTGAGATGGGCTCTAAGTGTTTGAACAAAAATGTGGGATATCTCATGATTTCTTATAATAATTACAGGCTTAAATTATAGTTCAGGATATACTGGATTTCATAGGCTATATTATTAAAAATAATTTCATTTGATCTTTATGTTAATTTTGAGACAGAGTCTCACAATCAGCCCAGGCTCGCCTTGAACTTGCAATCGTCCTGCCTCATAATCCTGAGTGCTAGGATGATACCTGCACACCATCATGCCTGACTATGTTTTAAAATTTAACTAACAAGGTCTGGAGAGATGCTCAGTGGTTAAGAGCATGCACTGCTCTTACAGAGGTACTCAGCACCCCTGTCAGGTGGCTCACAACCACCTGTAACTCTGGTTCTAGGGAATCTGATGCCTAGAATCTTCTGGCCTCTGTGGGCATCTGCACTCATGTGCACACAGCCCCACACAGACATACACAAGCACATATAATTAAAAATAAAAATGAAATCTTTAAAGTGTGACTAATAGAAACATTTAAATTATAAGGCTGAAGAGACAGTGCAGCAGTTAAGACTGCTTGCCTGGATGACAAGTGTGCACCCCTGGCCCAACTCTTTATATATTTTAAAATGGGGCTAATAGGGGCTGGAGAAATGACTCAGCAGTTAGGAACACATACTGCTCTTATAGAGGATCCTAGTTTGGTTCCCAGCACCCACATTGGGCAGCTAACAAGTATTTGCAACTCTAGCTTCAGGGAATCCAATACCATCTTTTGGTTGCCATGGACACCTATACAAATTGGGCAATACACACACACACAGAGACATACATACATATAAATAAAAAGAATTTTTAAAAAGATTTTATTTATCATTTTTATGTGTATGTGTGTATTGCCTGCATGTAGGTAAGTGCACCTGTGTTGTGCAATGCCCGTGGAGGACAGAAGAGGCTGTCGGATCCCTGGAACTGGAGTTATGGGCAGTTGTTAGTTGCCATGTGGGTGCTGGGATTCGAACCTGGGTCTTCTGCAAGAACAGCCAGTGTTCTTAACCACTGAGCCATCTGTCCGGCCCCAAGAATTAAAAAAAAAAAGTTTAAATCATATCTATGGCTGACATACTATTTCTATTAGTAGCAGTCATTTAGGCTTTATCTTAAGGAAAAATAAATAAAACAGGAAGCAAATTAGGAACATGTGGCCAGGGTTGTGACATGCACAATGGAGCGATCTGAGGAAGACGAACCTGGTACTTGTGTGTAAGAAAGAGGTAATTAGGGGGATTTACAGTAATCAGGCAAGATAGGCTGATGGGAGATGGGTGGGACTAGGGATATAGCCTGGAAGTTAAATGACTTAGACACAGTTTGGCATGGGGATCCAAGAGGCAAAAGATAAAACTGTCCTACGTCTATTTCTTAAAGAATACACTTTTTTTTTTCAGAGCTTCCACTGAGTCTGGACGCTATAACCAAAATAACCAAAGTCATTCAGATACGTAAAAAGGCCATTCTGAATAATTCAGCCAGTCAAGCAGGAATGGCAGCACATGGTTATAGCTCTAACTCCACCACTTGGGAGACTGAGGCAAGAGATTCACCAATTCAAGGCCAGCCCGTGCTACATAGAGTGAGACCCTGTCTCAAGAAAGGAAAACCAAAGCCAAGGGTAGTGGTTCAAACCTTTAATCACACTACTCAGGAGAGGCAGGTGGATCTCTGTGAGATGGAGACCAGCCTCGTCTACATAGTAGAGCCCCAGGCCAGCTGGGGCTACAAAGAGATGCTGTCTTAAAAAAAAAGAAAACCAGATAACTACAACCAAAAGAATCACCAAGTTAAACCTAGGAATTGTCTTCTCTTGAAGAGTGGCCCTGGTCAGGCCATTCTGTTGTGGAAGGAAAGGGCATGAATTCATCCATACCTAACAGCATTACATCCATAACTGTCAGGCATTTTCTATTTTTCACATGTGTGCGCACATGGGTGCACATGCACAAGGAGGCCTGTGGTTGATGTTGGGAATCACCCAGGATTGTTGCTCCATCTTATTAATTGAAGCAGGGCCTCTCAATCAAACCCAGAGCTTGCCTATATGACTAGATCTGCTAGGCAGCTTGCTTGGGGGATGCCCTATCTCTTCCAAGGCTGGAATCGCAAGTGGGCCACCACACCTACCTGGCATTTAAGTGAATTCTGGGGATCCAAACTCATCCTCACACTTGCAAAGCAAGCACTTAACCACTGAGCCATTTCCCCAGCCCTCAGGCACTTTTAAAATAGCCTAACCCAAGGGGCTTGCATCTGGATGGGTGCAAAGCCAGGGCATGCATGGCTAAGAAGACTTACTACCTGCAGCAACTAAGGACAGCACTGGAGTTATTCCCAAAGCAGTATCTTCCTCAAACAAAGGAAGCATGAGGGTCAAAGAACCTACTATGTTCATATAAAAAAGTATTTTAGGGGTGAACACCTACCTGAGCATGCTCATTTTAAGGTCATAGTTCAAGAAGGAAAGGTAGCAAATATATTTTGGGGGCACACTTAGCTCAAGGTCATAGAACACATGTTCAAAAAGTAAAAGCAGTAGACAGACAAGAACACTTTTGGGCATGCTCAGCTCATCCATCTCTCTCTCTCTCTCTCTCTCTCTCTCTCTCTCTCTCTCTCTCTCTCTCTCTCTCTCTCTCTCTCTCTCTCTCTCTCTCTCTCTGGCCATGCTCAATTCATTTCTCTCTCTCTGTATACACATATGTTTGCATGTCTGGGCGCACATGTGTGTGCATGCATGTGAAGGTCAGATAACAACCTCAGGTGTCGTTTCTCAGTCACCACCCTTTTTTTTTTTGGTGGTGGTGGTTGTTTTTTTTTTTTGATACAAGTTCTCTCACTGGCCTGGAACAAGGCAAGGAGGCTAGGCTGGCTGGCCCAGGGATCTGCCAATCATACCCTTCCCTCCTTTTCAAATACAGGTTCTGAGCATAGAACTCAAATCATCAAGCATTACCAACTGACCCTCTCCTTAGCCCTGTTTTCCTCAATAGATTTTAACTGAAGAAAAGAAAAGGATACTTTGAAAGCATATTAATATAGGAGTTCTCTCCCAAAGGAACCTGCCTTGCAAAATGACTATCATTCGAGAACTTTCCATATATGTATTTCCCCTTTAATGCTGCAAGACAGATAATGAGAAGGAACTTAATATTATCCACGTCCAGGGATTAGAACAGCACTATTTTGATTCTCATGATAACAGAGGGGGACTCAGTGGGAGGATGAAAAGTGGGATTATGCAGTAGCATTCTCTGCAATTTTCCATCACCATCCTGGAGGTGGAGATGGGTCTCCTACCTATACTTCACAGATATAGGGCTATGCTGAACAAGCCAGGAATGTCAGAATGGAAGAAAATGGCACTATCATGAGCCAGGCTCCATGTGAAAGCCTTCTCAAATGGTACCCCAGATAATCCTCCCAGCAGCCTACATGCCAAGTGTTGCTTATTCTAGATTAGAGGAGATGGAAACAAACCAAACTGACTTGCCCAAGTCAGACAAGGGGGATTTATTAGTAAACACACACTCTAGTATACTAGAGAGTTTCCAGAGTAGGGGCTATGTGGTCAGGAATTTTGGACATGATGGCTCCCACAGGCTATCTGGGAGCCAGGAATATGCTCTACTGTGAGAATGTAAAAGACAGGTAACTCACTGTCTCTTGCTACCTCAGAGAAGAAGGAACTGGTGGATAAGGGGCAGTGACAGTAGTCAGGATCATTAAATAAGCTCTGTGGCAAGCCAGGTGTGGTGGGAGGCTAGCTTCTCCAAAAGGCACTGTGATGGTAAGTCAAAGGCACTGTGCTGTGACAGCTGCTCCCACATTAATCTCTGGGTGCCTGCTAGCATGGGATTCAGGGTTGACACACAGATTCCAAGAGAGTAAGTTCTGAAATGTCCCTTGTAGCAGGGAAGGTCTAGCATGAGAAGAAAACTGTTCCATACAGACAATCCACAGTAACCAACAATATATATTAATGCATCTTTATAAAAGTATACATAATATAGGCTATATATTAATCTACTGACAAAAAACCAATTGTGACCAAAGCTTGAAGGGCCTGACTTCTTTATTTCCTGCAGGATCAATGGTTTAGTATTTGCAAATGCAGTGATTGTGGTGACCTTATGGAATATAGCTTCCACAAGTCATGAGGATGAACTGTCAGTGTGCAAAGGCCACAAGGACCTTTCCTCCTGAGCTAGCTTTCAATAACAAGCGTCTCAGCCAACTAACTAGAAAGCTGCTTCAATTTAAAAATAGTCCAGTAAGTTCACAGTGCCAAATGCATTCTGGAGCAGGTCCAGAAAAGACCTCTGTGACACATACTGCTTTAGATTGCAAAGTATCTATGTATGTAAAAGCTGGTGATACTATGCTGTCCAATAGAAGAAAAATCACCAAACAATTCCATTGCTTTATATGTATCTGTACGTTTATGGGCCTACTGCATAGAAAGGCCTAGAAAGACATACCACAAAATGGTAATAGTATTAGATCTCATATTATTGCTCATTTTTATTAGTTTTTAATCTTCTTTTTATATGTGTGTGTATGTGCACACATTGTGTGTATGTGGGGGTGAGCACATGCCAGCATGTGTATGTGGAGGTCAGAGGACAACCTCAGGTGTCAGTCCTCACCTTACACTTTGCTTGAGACAGGGTCTCTGTTGTTTTCCCCTGCTGGATATCAGAGGTCAGGATAGCTGGCCCACCAGCTTCCGGGCAGTCTCTGTCTCTGTCTCCCATCTTTCCATAGGAGCACTGGCATTCTAGAGATGTGCTACCACACCCAACATTATGTGGGTTCTCAGAATTTAAACTCGGGCCCTCACGCTTGCAAAGCAAACACTTTACTTACTGAACCATCTCTCCAGCTCTAGTATTCTGTCTAAATGTTGAAAGGCATATAAAAGAAAACAATAAAGGTAAATATATAAGAAAAGGAAATGGAATGTCTCAAATCCCATTGCCATTGAGTGATTACCAAATACCTAAACCATCACTAATTTAAATCACAATATTTCTGCAAGTGTAAAATACACACTAGATTTAAAAGTTAGTACAAAAAAGACTGTAAAGCACCTTCTTTTTTATTAATTTTTACAACTATTACATGTTGAAATGATATTTATTTTGGATATTTATTATTTTTATGTACTTATTAATTTTGGATATGTATTATTTTTATTTTAGTGTACGAGTATACTGCCTGCATGTATGTAAGTGCACCTGTGTTGTGCAATGCCAGTGGAGGTCAGAGGTGGTGTTGAATTCCCCTGGAACTGGAGTTATGGACAGTTGTTAGCTGCCATGTGAGTGCTGGGAACCAAACCCAGATCCTCTGTAAAAGCAGTCAGTGATCTTAACTGCTGAGCCATCTCTCCAGTACTCCACTGCTTCTTTTAAATTTTTTTAAATTTATTTTTATTTTATGTGCATGAGTATTTTGCCTGCATGCATGTCAGTGCACCTATGAATGCAATGCCCACAGAGTTCAGAAGAAGGCATCAGATCCTCTGGTACTGGAATTATAGATCACTGTTAGCTGCCATGTGGGTGCTGGGAACTGAACACAGAGAACCATAACCAACAGGTGGAGATTAAAAGGCTGCAGACTGCTTATCCCTGAATAGGACACCTATATCAAAGTTCTGCCTCCCAAGGCTCAGGGATCATTGCAGAAGATGGGGCAGAAAGATTGTAAGAGCCAGAGGAGGTGGATATCCACATGGAACCAGAGTTTTCCAGACAACTGGTTTCATATGAACTCAGCAATGCTGACAAATCCCACATAAGCTCAAGCCAGACAAAATCCCAGCATAGATGTGGGGAAAATTAATTGTAAAAACTGAAAGAAAAAAAAAGTGGCCTCTTCAAATCCAGCTAAAGAATAATATTTGCCTAATTTGCCTAGGAGTGATCATCCAACTGAACTCTGCATTGTATAAGATGGAACTGAGCTGGGCGTGGTGGCCCACACCTTAATCCCAGCACTTGGAGGCAGAGTCTACATAATGAGTTCTAGGACAGCTGGAGCTACAGGGAGACCCTGTCTCAAAAAGACCAAAAAAAAAAAAAATGGACCTGGAAGTATCCTGCAATTCTCTGACTTCCTCTAGGAATCCTCCTTAAATTGAAGGCTGTCTTTCTTCCTATTCCCTTGCTATCCTGTTGCCTGGATGTAGAATGATGCTGACACACTAGCAGCCACACTGAATAGTGACTATGAAGGTTACAAGCAGAGATAGCCAAGGAGGTAATCTACAAAGATGCTGTTGCCTGGATGTGGAATGATGCTGACACGCTAGCAGCCACACTGAACAGTGACTATGAAGGTTACAAGCAGACATAGCCAAGGAGGTAATCTACAAAGATTCCTGACTTCTAACTTGCTACTTGAGGAAGAAATCCCTTTCTTTCTTGTGGAGACCAGTGTTAATTTGGGGTTTCCCATTATACACAGCATTGGAAACTGACCTTTGAGTTAGTCTGGAAGGACTGTATCAACAAAGACAGCTTCCTCTGCAGCTCCTGCAAGTCCTTGGAGGCACTTGGGGGTTCCTCTTTGGCCATCTTGACATGTCCTTCAGTCTCTCTCTGGATTAATTCTTCTGCCAGTAGGTTCTCTGGTGTAGCATGCAGTCCAGTCTCTCATGTCGGCCTGTGCTCTGTCATTAAAGGGACAAGAAGTTTCTTAAATCATTGGTAATCTTCAAAGAGTCTCTGCTATCCTACACAGTAATGTTGGGCATGCAGATAGACATACCTTGGCGATATTTATCAAAATTTCAAACTGCACACACTTCGACTGACCAGCAACATATTTTCCATGAACCTGAAGCAAATACACAGGTAAATGAAAATATACTCAAAGGATGTGTATTATATTCCTATTTATAATATGTAATTACTAGCAAACTACTGGGAAGGAGCTAATTACTCAGTAGGACACTGCTTAAATAATAAGTCATTAAAAAGATTATAAAATACTTCACAGTTGAATATACTTGTTTCTGTATACGTTATATAGGAAAAGATCTAGAAAGACATATAATCTCTGAAGACTTATTTTTTTTCCTGAAAGAATGAGCAAAGGAATACCCCCCCCCAGAAGCCAGGGGTTGTGGCACACGCCTTTAATTCCAACAGAGTAGGCAGAAGGAGGTGGATCTCTGTGAGATAAAGGCCAGTCTGGTCTACATAGTAAGTTCCAGGCCAGCTGGATCTACAGGGAGATCCTGTCTCAAAAAGCCCAAAAACAAAAAACCAAAAAATACCCCCAAAGTGAGAAAACTGAACACTCTTCCAAATTCCAACCCCTCCCCATCTTCCACTTCTACAGCTGTGATTTTGGCTGATTTCTCTTCTTTCTTTACTTGGCTCCCAAGTACCTTGTGCAATAAATCACCCTTTATGTATGGTGTAAGTCCTAACAAGAGCTGTCCTGAAGGAAAGACCTTGCCACAATTACATTCTGTGATTCAACAACCTGAAATTTCCAGGACCTTCTCAACCCCACACACTCTTTTATTAATTTTTCATACACAGTGTGCCAGATTAGGTACATTTTAAAATCCTGGCTAAACTTTCAAATAAAAAAGTCTTGTTTAACACATCCCAGAGCAAATGTCTGGCTGGACAGACATCTCCTGCATCTCTGCCTAGCAGCTAACCTCCTGACCTATGTACAAATGCTCAGTAGACTCTGTCACTGTGGCTAAAATTAACTGAGAGATCCTCACCTCTGTTTATCATCTTGAACATCCCTCATGCTAATTATGTGTTACACTGAGGAAACATATACACTACTAATGTCTACACTGCAGAGTCCCATACATACACTGAAGCACTTTTTTTTTTTTTTTTTTTTTTTTTTTTTTTTTTTTGGTCTTTTTGAGACAGGGTCTCCCTGTAGCCCCAGCTGTCCTGGAACTCACTATGCAGACCAAGTTAGCCTTGAACTCACAGAGATCTGCCTCCCCAGTGCTGGGACTGAAGCACATTTTAAGCACACCAGCTAAAGATTCTCTCCCCCTGGGTAGGAAAGGGGGCGGGGACGGCGGACACTCCTCCCTGTTTCTGTTAAAGCAGCAGCTGGCATTGATACTGAATTCAGGATGCTCCCAGCCCTGTTCTCTTGCCTTAATCTCATCTCCACAGCGGGCTATAACAAGCCTAACTGCCCCCTTTACAAGTCCTCTAGGGCCTGAGAAACACTTAAGTGCCATCCAGACCGGTCTGGGGAGTCCGATGAGGGGGAACGCAAGAAGAATGTCTGAGCCACAGTCAGTAAATGCGTCTACTTAGCCACCAATTCCCAGATCCTCCTGGGAGCGGCCCCTTACAGACACTGAGGCCTCAGGAGAAAGGAAGGCGCCACCCCAAGCAGTTTAAGGACGTCCCGCCTACTATGAGCCTAGGGGGCCGAGCGAGGTCCCTAGGCTTCACTTAAAAAGCCCCGCTCCCCACCCCAGCGCCCCCGCGAGCAAACTGCCACCGCTAACATTCCAGCCGGGTTCCCATCCCCTTCTGGGGGCGGGGGAGAATTTAGGGGCACCCAGAAACGAAGGAAGGCGCCACCCCAAGCAGTTTAAGGACGTCCCGCCTACTATGAGCTTAGGGGACCGAGCGAGGTCCCTAGGCTTCACTTAAAAAGCCCCGCTCCCCACCCCAGCGCCCCCGCGAGCAAACTGCCACCGCTAACATTCCAGCCGGGTTCCCATCCCCTTCTGGGGGCGGGGGAGAATTTAGGGGCACCCAGAAACTTATTCCGGTCCCCCTTTCCGATGCAGGCTCAGACTTTCAATCTGCAAAGGCCAGGGATCCAGAAAGAGCGAGGTGGGTGTGATGCAGATGGGGACCTGATTCCCCAACCACCGGGCACAAACCCTAGGAAATGGAAACCCAGTGGGAGTCGGGGTCCTGTCATCCATCTGGGTAGAAGCCACCTTTGACACCTGCAGCTCCTCTCCCGGTGGGGCGCAGGGCGCTGCTGTGAACCAATCCTGGGGAGGAGGTCTAGATTAGGCAAGACTCCACATCTTCCCATCTAGATTTCTCAAGAGGGGATAGGGCCTCGCGCGTGGGTTGGAGCTGGAGACCCTTTCTATGTTGCAGGTGTGTAAGGGCGGGGTGGGGGTCGGGTGGGGGCTGGGAATGGTGGATCCGGTTAGACCGGGAGCTCTCAGCCCCGTCCCAGCGTCTCGAGGCACCAGACACCTTTATTGCCAACTCAGGGCTACAGGCGAAGGACCATACTGCACTTCTCCACTTCCCCGGGCGGAGCCCGAAGGGTTCAGCCCGTCGGGGCCCCCAGGACCCTCCACCCCATAGCTTCCCTCGCCGGGTGCGGCGGCCAGGATGCCCCTCGCCGAGCCCGCAGGTGGTGGGAAGCGAGGTGGGAGGAAGAGGAGAAGGAACCAGCGCCGCGGTGGGAGCGAGAGCTGGACTTACCTCCTTCCCACGGGTGAGAGCTCCCACGGGTGAGAGCCCAGCCTCCTCCGCAGGCCGAGGCTCCGCCCCTAGGCCACGCCCCTCGCAGGCTCCGCCCCGCCCTCCCATCGCTGGCGGAAGGACCCCGTCCGGATGTCCTCCACCCTACCGCCACTCCCTCTGCAAAGAGCGCTTGTTCCTGCCCACTCACTCTAGGAACTACTCAGACGAATTTGTGAGGAAGACAAATTCGGCTTGAGACGGTCCCTTCGGACACCCATGGCTTGGAGTGAAATGTTTTGGGCCACTTCTGAAAGAAGTGGACTGGCAGCCAAGAGTCTTTTGGAGCTTAAGTTTTCCCCTCCTAAATGCACCAAACCAGTTCCTCTGGACTCGTCCCTGGAGTTCGAGGTACCTAGGCTGGAAGGGTCTAGCCATTACTCAAGTGCAAATGTCAGCCAGCGAGAGCCTTAGAGATGGATTTTCTCCATTTTACAGATGACAAAACGAGAGGCAGAGACAAAAGGTAAATAAACTCATATCCTGTTCACGAGGATCCATGCTAGGGAAATCCATGTTTCCTGGTCCCAAATCCAGGCCAAAAGAGCACAGCTACTGTAACTGTGCCCGAGGTGGGATGAGGAGGTCCTGTGTGCAGCGTGGTATCCCTGGCCTCTACCTTCTAAGTACCATTAATACCCCTCTTAAAATTATGATGACTGAAAATGTGCCCAAACTATGCCAAATGTCCTCTGGAGAGACAGGAAGGGACAATCATTCCGTATTGAGAAGCAGTGTCATTGAGCTTTCAGGGAGAAAAGAGTGGCCAGGGGTCCCACAGTGCTTGGCTCGGTGACTTTGGTGGTTCGTTAGCCATTTCTTGATCCATAAAATGGGGGAATAAGCTCAACATTTGTCAGCTACTGAAAAGGTCTCAGGTCCTTTCCCATCCAGAGACTTAGGATGATCCACCTCCCCTCTGTGACTTGTGTCCATGACAACCCGGAGAATAATTCTTTGGGCAATGAGAGCAGTCACGGGGTTATAGAGAGGACTGGTACAAAGATGCCTTTAAAGTACTGAGTATCGGGTGGGAGAGATGGCTTAGCAATTAAGAGCGCCGGCTGTTCTTGCAGTGGAGCTGGGTTCGATTCCCAGCACCCACATGGAGGCCAATAACTGTCTGTAACTTCAATTCGAATGATGCTTTCTGACCTAAGCAGGCATTGTAGGACATTGTGCATTACACAAGTGCAGGCAATGCACTCACACACATAAAATAAAAATAAAGACTAAAATATGAAAAAAGTACTGAGTATGTATCAGGCATATAGTGGAGGCTCAAAACTCTTTCATGGGGTTGCAGGTATAGTTCAATGGTAGAGTGTTTGCCTAGTATGCCCCTAAGCCCTCTCTCCAATCTTCAATATTAAAAAAAATCAATAGTATTATTGCTTCAGTCATCTGCTTCAAGAAATAATAATCAGGCTAGTGGATAGAGAAATTAGCTTGGAGATGTAAACAATGACAATGATGATAATAAGTTGAGGGATCTCATTCCAACTCCTCCATTACAGCATAAAGGGGGAGCTAGTTAAAGGCATGGGGAGCATGGACAGGCAAGTATGGTGTCCCTAAATTTTTAAGTTTCAGGCAACATTGTCTGGCTGTGTGCACTTTGTGTATGACCCAGGGAAAACATGACCGTTTGTTTTCCTTAGACTATAATACCGTACCATCAGTCCCTATGGATGCTGCTTTGGAAAATTGGAGCTTCCCTGGAATTTCAGTGAAGAGTGCCATCTAGGAGCACTTCTGAATCCTCTAACCCCTCCCACCTGCAGCATTTCTGTGGGGTCAGCAAGTGCGTCTCCTAGAGTGCTGACTGCCTCCTCTGACATCTCTTGTATTTCCCATGCTGGGGATCTGGCATGTCTCTGTAGCATCACAAACCTGGCTCTTGATGAACATGCAGTGGGCTGATAAAATCAATCTATGTACAGCCTCTCCTATGCCTTTCCCCAGTTTCTTACTGCCATGGATGGAGAATTTACAATCCCATCAAATCCACAACCCTCCAATGTGATGGTATTAGGAGGTGGGGGCCTTGGGGAAGTGACTATTCACAAAGGTGAAGTCCTTATGAATAGAATTAATGTCCTTATAAAAGGGTCTCTAGAAAGAGAACTCTCTTCCTCTTTCTGCTATGGCAAATGCAATAAGAAACTGGCAATCTACAACCTGGAAGGGGGTCTTCTCTGGAGTCCCACCATGCTGGCATCCAGACCTCACACCAGCCTTCTCAACTCTGAGAAATCAGTTTCTGAAGTTTTATATTATTATAAAGTTATTATAAAATTATTATTATAAAATTTATATTATTGTTGTTGTTGCTGTTATTTTATGTATATTTTGTGTTTTGCCTGCCTGGAAGTGCATCTGTGTTGTGCAATGCCCAAGGAGACCAGAAGAGGGCATCAGATCTCCTGGCACTGGAATTACAGACAATTAGCCACCATGGGGGTACTAGGAACCAAATGAAGGTCCTCTGCAAGAACAGCTAGTGCTCTTAACTTCTGAGCCACCTCTCAACAAAACCCTGAAGGTTTTGTTGTTGTTTTTATTTGAAACAGCATCTTACTGTAGCCCCAGCTGTCCTGGAACTTGTTACCTAAACCAAGCTGGCCTTGATCTCACAGACATCCTCCTGCTTCCGCCTCCTGAGTGCTGGAATTAAAGGTGTGTGCCACCACGGCTGGCTTTGAGTGTGAAAGAAGAAAGAAAGAAAGAAAGAAAGAAAGAAAGAAAGAAAGAAAGAAAGAAAGAAAGAAAGAAAGAAAGAAAGAAAGAAAGAAAGAGAAGGAAGAAAGGAAGAGAAGGAAGAAAGAAAGAAAGAAAGAAAGAGAGAGAGAGAGAAGGAAGAAAGGAAGGAAGAAAGAAAGAAAAGAAAGAAAGAAAGAAAGAAAGAAAGAAAGAAAGAAAGAAAGAAAGAAAGAAAGAAAGAAAGAAAGAAAGAAAGAAAGAAAGAAAGAAAGAAAGAAAGAAAGAAAGAAAGAAAGAAAGAAAGAAAGAAAGAAAGAAAGAAAGAAAGAAAGAAAGAAAGAAAGAAAGAGAAGGAAGAAAGGAAGACTAGCTAGGCATGGCAGCACACACCTTTAATCCCAGCACTCAGGAGGTAGAGGCAGGTGAATCTGTGAGAGCTAGGGCAGCCTGGTCTAGGTAGCAAGTTCCAGGACAGGACAGCTGGGGCTACAGGAAAAGTCTGTCTCGAACAAACAAAAATCAAATCAAATCAAATAAGCCACTCAGTCTATGGGATTATAGTAGCCCCAATGTGCTAACATACTTGTGTCAGATAAGCAGTTTCTTCATCCCTCTGAGAAGATCTACTTTCCAAGCCCTCTCTGAATAAGAAATGTGTGACAGTTCCTTAGCAATTGCTAATACCAGAGACAGAATAAAACCCAAATCCAGCTGACCTCTTCTCCTAGGTTATCAGACTTAGCAAATAAAAATACAGGATGCTCAGTTAAATTTCTATTTCAGGCAAACAACCTATAATGTTTTGGTATGCACAGGTCTCATATTTGGGACATACTTATACCAAAAAATGTTATTTTGCCTACTTATCTGAAATTCTGATTTAATTGAGTATCCTGAGTTTTATCTGGCAATCCTGGGGATTTGTAGTTGATGGGACTGAGGATCTTAAGGCTTTAATCTTGAGAATAGACAAGTCAGACAAATTCTACTATGGATGAGGCACCCTGAGGGAATGATTCATATTCATTCTCTCTCTCTCTCTCTCTCTCTCTCTCTCTCTCTCTTTCTCTCTCTCCCTCTCTCTCCTCGTCTCTTCTTCCTCCTCCTCCTCCTCCTCCTCCTCCTCCTCCTCCTTCTTTCTTCTTTCTTCTTTCTTCTCTTTGGAGACAGGGTCTCAATATGCACGTCAGGCTGGCCTTGAGCTCACTCTGCAGCCCAGCAAGGCTACCATCATTCCTTAGTCTACATGTAGGTTTTTAGATAAGGCCATGACCACATTCAAGTCCTAGCTTTGCTGTTAACCTACCTAGTGACTATAGGCGGGTTTGCTTAATTAGTTTAATTAGCTTAATTAGTTTAATATCTCAGTTTCCTCAAACATAAAAATTGGGAAAATAAGATTTCTCTCCTCTATTATTGAAAAGATTCAGAGGTGAAATTCCTAATGTAGTGGGCACCAATCCCAGTAGATCACATGTGCTCAATAAATAGAAGTTCTTTTATTTTTGTTTTGATGTTTATGAGCACAGTTAGTCATTAAAGCACATTAAATTTCAGGTGCAAGCCTGTCTCCTGCTCATACCCAAGGCCATGGGATCATTAGCACTGTGCTAGTCCCTTTTTCATTCTTTACATATTTATGTAGGAGTCTGCTTTTTGTGTGTGACATGAGATCTCTTACCCAGGACATGCCTCGGTCTAAATTCCATTTCTGTCAAACCAAAAGCCCAAGCCTTTCCCACAAGCTCATTTATTCCAAATACTGTTTGAAACCATTTACACTCATCCATCAGTATCCACAGTAGATTGGTTCCAAGACCCCTGCAGATACCAAAATCCTTGATTGTTCATAAAATAAGGTAGCATTTGCACATAAATCACAGAAATCCTCCAGTGTGTAAAAAATGTTATACTTTACTATTAAGGAAATAATATAAAGAATATATATCTTTATATTATTCTTATATATAATAGATAAGAATATATAAGAATATAAAGAAGTCTGTATTTGTTCAGTACAAATGCAAGTTTTAATTTTATATTTATATAATTAACATAGTTGTAAAAATTAATGAGATTTACTTTGACATAGCCATACATGAATATATCATACATTGATTATATCCACCTGCCTCCTACCCTCTTCGACTTATTTAGTATTTGTGTGTGTGTGTGTGTGTGTGTATGTGTGTGTGCATGCACCTGCTTGCCTATGCATGCTGATGGAGGCCAGAGGAGGATGGCAGGTGTCCTCTATCACTCGCCACCTTATTCCTTTGAGATAGGGTCTCTCACTGGACCTGGAGCTAGGCTGGCGGCCAGCAAACGCAGTGATCTTATCTCCATACCCACAGCACAGTGGTTCCAGGCATGCACATGGCCACACCTGGCTTTTTACATGAGTGCTAGGCTCTGAACTCAGGTCTTCATGCTTGTGCAACAAGAGCTCCGACCCACTGAACCGTTTCTACAGCCCTTCTTTGGCATTCTTGATTCCATGGATGCTTGGCTTCCTGGATATAGAACCCACAGGCACACAGGGCTGACTTTGTGTGTGGTGCTGGGGACTGAACCCAGGACCTTGTACATTCTAGGCAAGTGCTCTGCCACTGAGCCACAGTCCTTTATATACTTTATGGTGAGAAACATAAGTGTGAGGAAGTTCAAGTTATTTTGAAATTATGGAAAGCCCAATTTTGAGGAGAGAGAAAAAAGAGACATCGAACTACTTGATGCTATGCAGTACACTTTAAAGGAGCTCAGACACATTTGTGTTGTGAGCAACTGCTTTTTGGAAAGAGCCCTAGAAAAGGTTCAAAATGCATGAGCTCTGATTATAAGACAAGCCAACATGGGGAAACTATGCACCTCTATTTTGGTTTCCTCATGCATAAAATGGGAGCATCGGGGAATTTAGGGGGAAACTAAATGAAGAAGTGGATGTGGACAATAGCATCTGGAAAGAGCTCCATAAGTCTAACTTGGCTTTGGGATGACTTTGAAAGCAACCATGTAATAAGGGCTTTGAATATTGGGGTAGTGAATAACCTTCGGCACTTATGTATTAATATTAGTATATGTGTGTGAGTTTATGTACTTGTATGTCTTTATGATATGATGCTAGCCACAACATTTGTAGAGAACCTATGAGTTACAAAACTGCCCCAATTTGTCCTGGACAGAGAATTCCAGGATGCAAGACTCACATGGGTAAAACTGTAAAAAAGACTGGGGATGTAGCTCAGTTGGTAAAGCACTTCCCTAGCATGCACAAAGCCCTGGGTCTGATCCACAACACCATAAGCCATGCATAGTGGTACACACCTGTAATCCCAGCACTCAGGAGAGGTGGGAGCAGGAGGCTCAGAAGTTCAGTCATCTTCAAGCTGTAGAGTGAGTTTGAAGCCAGTCTGTGTTACATGAGACCTTGTCTCAAAAAAAGGGGGAAAATCATACGGATTGGGATGAACTAGATATCCATTTACTGTATGAAAATTGTTTTAGCTCATTAATCCTTCAGACAAATTTAATGAGAAGGATACTCACAATATTGCCATAAAATGTCATCAAATTTGTACACAAAAGTTGAGACATTCACTTGAAGAGATGAAGTGCTTTGCTCAAGCCGCACAGTTGACTAATGGGAAGAGCAAGATCTGAGTTGAGCTGTTCCACTCTAGATTCCCCATCCCCAGCCTGTGTGCCTTCAGACCTCTCCCCAGGACTCACCCCCAGCCTGTATGCCTTCAGATGGCTCCCCAGGACTCACCCCCAGCCTGTGTGCCTTCAGACCTCTCCCCAGGACTCACCCCCAGCCTGTATGCCTTCAGATGGCTCCCCAGGACTCTCCCCCCCCCAGCCTGTGTGCCTTCAGACCTTTTCCCAGGACTCACCCCCAGCCTGTGTGCCTTCAGACCTCTCCCCAGGACTCACCCCCCAGCCTGTGTGCCTTCTGACCTCTCCCCAGGACTCACCCCCAAGCCTGTGTGCCTTCATACCTCTCCCCAGGACTCACCCCCAGCCTGTATGCCTTCAGATGGCTCCCCAGGACTCACCCCCAAGCCTGTGTGCCTTCAGACCTCTCCCCAGGATTCACCCCCAGCCTGTATGCCTTCAGACCTCTCCCCAGGACTCACCCCTCAGCCTGTGTGCCTTCAGACCTCTCCCCAGGACTCACCCCCAGCCTGTGTGCCTTCAGACCTCTCCAAGGCCATGGTCTCTTATGATCACTTGTCTTGCTTTCCTGGACCTTCTTAGTCTCCCTTTGGTCACCAATACTTCCTGCTGCTCTGCTCAGCCTCCTACATGAAAGGAGCCAGCAGAGCATGCAGTAGATCAAGCCCAGTCTTGTTCTTAGGCACAGAAGAGGCCACTCCTGCACTTAGCAACAGACGCTGAAGCCTGGTTACCCACCCGGGGCCTCAGTACAAGCTCCATTACTGCTAAAACTGCTCAGGAAATGAGTGCTATTTAGGAGAGTGGGCCCTCTCTTTTTCTGTATTAGTATGTAACTGTGCTTCAGTTTTGTCTTTTGCAGAGACTTCACTGTGTTCCAGGAAGTTCTGAGAAAACTGCTCAAAGGAGAAGAGTGAATATTGCAAGAAATAGGCACTAGAGCAAAAAACTTCGAGCAGAGCCCCAAAGCCACCTCTTCATTCTATGTCTTTCCTTTCTCTTCCTTTCTACCAGGGAACTCCTTGAGAGACTGAAGTCTATGACCTCAGAGAGACAGCTCTATGAATGGAGCTTCTAGAGTGACCAAAAAGTTCCGCTGCTGGTGTCATCTGCATTATGCTATCGGGAATTGTGGATTTCAGAGCGACTAGGTGGGAGAGACTTATCCCTGGAGAAGCTGAGAGCTCTGTGTTTGTATTTTAATAGGTACAATTAGAGTGGGCACCATGAGCTACACAGATTGCTCAACTCGGAAGGTAAGGGTAAAGTTTAGGGTGTGTTTTTCTGTACTTCTGTCTTCAACATCTAGGGGATTTGGGAGTGTACAGGAAGAGGGCCATTTCACATATACTAATTGCCATGTTAAATACCTTTGACCTACAAAGTATGTTAATCACATTTCCATGATGTGTGCTTTCAAATTGATTTCTGTAGAATTTTGAACATATTTGAATTTTTTTCGGAAAATTTTAGAAACAGATACCTGGTTTCTTTTTCCTTTCTTTACAATGCTGTTAGACCACATATTCCAACCAACTGATGGGTCCCAGATTTTTTTGATTTTTTTGTTTTTTTGAAATAGGGTCTCCCTGTAGCCCCAGCTGGCCTAGAACTCACCATGAAGACCAGGCTGGCCTTGATCTCACAGAGATCCACCTGCCTCTGTCTCCTGAGTGCTGGGATTAAAGGCGTGCACCACCATGCCCAGCTTCAGGTTCCAGTTTTGACTGTAAATCAAAATAATCTGAGGTATAGCTTAACATAATCTTGGGGCTGGAGAGATGATGGATGGTTCAGTGGGTAAGATCACTTGCTGAGTAATCATGGGGACTTGAATTCAAATCCCTGGCACCCAAGGTAAAAACTGGGCATGGTGGCATGTACGTACCTATAACCCAAGTACTAGGTTGGAGAGCAGGGCGTAGAGATGGGAATCTCTGGGGCTTGCTGGGTACCAGCTTAGTTCCAGGTTCAGTAAGAGACCCTGTCTCAAGGAAATAAAATGGAAAGCGATAGAGAGAGCAGGATACCTGACAGCCTGTTCTGGCCTCTGCATGCATGGGGCATACACCTGCATGCGTGCACGCACACACACACACACACACACACGTATGCACAAATTATTAATTAGGCATGGTGGTACATACTTGTAGCCCTCGAGAGGCTGAGGCAGGAGGATTGTGAGTTCCAGGAGTCTGGGCTACACAGTATCCTGTATCAAAAAAAATTTGCTTAATTGTGAAAAATACTTTGTTCTGAAATTTTAATTTTTTAAACTTAATTTTATGTATATAGGTGGTACATACTTGTAGCACTTGAGAGGCTGAGGCAGGAGGATTGTGAGTTCCAGGAGTCTGGGCTACACAGTATCCTGTATCAAAAAAAATTTGCTTAATTGTGAAAAATACTTTGTTCTGAAATTTTAATTTTTTAAACTTAATTTTATGTATATAAGTGTTTTGTCTGCGTGTATATAGGTGCACAACATGCATGCAATGTCCTTGGAGGCCAGAAGAGAGCATCAGATCCCCTGGAACGGGAGTTAAGGATGGTTGTTAGCCACCATGTGGATTCTGGGAACCAAACCCAGGTCCTCTGCAAGAACAGCCAGTGCTCTTAACTGCTGAGCCAACTCTCCAGCTCCTGGTCTACAGATTTTGATTTGAGGAAGATGGACTAGGTAGAAAAAATGAACACATGACAGTTGGTAGTCGATTTATTTACTCTTGGCAGGCCTGAAACTCATTCTGTAGTCCATACTGGCCTTGAACTTGAGCTTGAAATTCTCCTGCCTCCATCACCAGAGTGCTGAGATTACAGCTGTATACCACTCCAACCAGCTTAAGAACAAATTTTTTTTTTTGTCTTTTTTGAGACAGGGTCTCCCTGTAGCCCCCACTGTCCTGGAACTCACTATGTAGAAAACAAAACAAAACAAACAAAAGAACTTCCCCAGAGTAATATTTCTACCCAATCCAGGTGCCAGAGTCTTGGTTGAAAAAGCCAAGATTCACTAGGCTGTTACTTGAAGTAGCCAAAGGAGTATTTAAAATGAAAACTCTAGGAGCTGGAGAGATTGCTCCGCAGTTAAGAGCACTGGCTGCTCTTGCAGAGGACCTGGGTTTGGTTCCCAGCACCCATATGGCAGCTAACAACCATCTGTAACTCCAGTTACAGGGGATATAACACCCTCTTCTGACCTCTACAGGCATTGCATGACACTGGTGCACTTACATACATGCAGGCAATACACTTATACACATAAGATAAAAATAATAAATGCTTTAAAAAATGAAAACTCTAAGGGTTGGAGAGATGACTCAGTGTTAAGAGAACTGGCTGCTCTTACATGGGTGCAAGACATGGGTGCACTTACATGTATGCAGGCAGTATACTCATATGTTGCAGGAAAGGTGAGGCAAGACACCAGGATGGTTCAGGAATTAAGTTTTATTTAGGCTGCAGCCTGGTCCAGAGCACTTGAGTCTCAGAGTCTGCTGAAGAGAGAAGTTCTCACATTTTTATTTCTTGGGTAGCGGGTTACAGCATAGGCAAATGATGTATCGGTTGGTTAACAGCAAAAGTTATAGAAAGCAAGTTGTTTGTCTCGTTCTTGAGGGGAAAGAGGTGTAAAAAGTCTCTGTTGGAGACAAATGGAAAGGAGGAAGTTGGGCTGTAGCTAATTGTGTCAGCATTTTAGCTCCAACCCAGCTGAACTTTGGAAACAGAGAGAGATAGGCAGAGAGAGAGAGATCCCTGTTTTCCCTAATTTTCCCCCATTTTTCCATCAGATCTGCATCATTATACATAAAAAAGAAAACTCTACAAAATTAGATTTGTTACATATTCAAACCCATGTTCTAAAATGAAAAATTCCTAAAATTTGCCAAAGAAGACATTTAGACATTACTATTTTTTAGCAAACCATTTTACATATCTAGGTAGCTGTAAAATCTCCATCTGTTCCTCAAAAGGGACCACAGAGAATTCTGGACCACAGCTATGGCCCAGAAAGCTCTCTTTAGTCAGTTGTGGAATTGATTTCTCCATGTACAGTCTTGTTCATGTTCCTGTGTTCCTGTCCTGCAGATGTTTGCTGCTATAAAGTTGTTTATAATTCTTTGTGAATGTCTTTGCATGTGTCCATGTAAGTCAAAGTTTAATGAGTTTCTGTGGAGGTCCTTGTGTTCTGCAAAGTGCTCTTCATGATCCCAAGGATAACTTCTCTGTCTCTCTGTGTGATGTGGTCTCTGCTCTCTGCCCTTGGCTTTCTGTCACTGAGTCTGGTGTGTCTGCATCTGTCACTGGGATGACCCACTCTCAGGATGGGAAGACCTAAGTATGATTTGTTATGCCTCAAACCCCAAAGAATCTATGACCTCAGGTAACCCAGAAATCCGGGTTAGATTTGAGGTTCCCACTGATGGCATTAAAACTTTCTCCCTTTGGTAACTTTGCTTGCTTCTACGTTGGCTTTATCTAAGGCTCACTTTCTCCACGTTGGGAGTTATGGACATAAATAGCCTGATATAAACAGCCAGGCATAAACAGCCTCCCAGTTAATGACACCAATGAAAAGAAAGTGTTCTTTCTCAGTAGCTCTGGAAATACTCTGGTCAGCCCTGCTTGGATTACATGCCGCCTTGAGCCAGTCATCATGGGCGTGAGGATGGGGTAGTCTGATTGGTCTCATGCTTGGAGGCAGAGGCTAGGATCAGTCACATTGTACAACTTAGGCTGAAATTGGAATAGAGCCAGTTATTCCCACTAGGGCTATATTCTGCTTCTTGGCGTGAGAGCGTTAATTTCCCAGGTGGTACAGGCACTGAAATCAGGTTTATCCCACCCTGAGCAGAAACACAAATACCAAGAGTTCTCTCAGATAATGTTAATATCCTCCCTGGCAATACAAGGTCAGGGCTTTGAGGGTTTAATTACTTGTTCCTGCTCTTGTTACAACTTAAGACGTTCCAGTTTCATGGTATTTGCTTGTTGCTCGTTTAATGAAGATTTTTATTTGAAACAGATTTAAAATCTAGGCCAAATGAAAGAGTTCCACTGACCACAAATTCTTCTTGCTTGCAAGACACAATACAGACAGCCCTAACCTATTCATCGATTCATGTCTTTCGTCTGGGATCCTGAAAAAAATAACAATGGCTTCATATCCTTGAAAGTACCCTTGCCAGAGTCTTCTTTGGATGGTATAGTACCTACTTTGGATGACAATGTTCTTTTCCAGTTGATGCTGGGATTCTCCCATTTTGTTACCCCATTGGTGCAGATGTGGCATTAATTTCAGCTGTAGAAGAAGGAATCCTTAGAGTGATTGGTCACTTCTCAGGTCCTTAAGATTGAGGTCAAGAACGAAAAGGCGGGGGCTAGAAAGATGGCTCATGAGTGGTTAAGAGCACTGGTTGCTATTGTAGAGGATCCAGGTTCAGTTCCCAACATCTATGTGGCAGCTAAAGATTCGTAACTCCAGTTTTAGGGGATCTGACACCCTCTTCTGGTTTCCACAAGCATTGCACACTTGCATACATGTAGGCAAAACACTCCTATACATAAAATGAAAATAAATCAATAGTAAAAATTTTAGAAAAGAATGGAGCAGCAAAGTCAGTGGTTTAGATGATCGTCTTCAAGCTGTGTGTGGTGGTTCACATCTATAATCCCCACATTTGAGAAGTTGAGGCAGGAATATCTTGAGTTTGAGGCCAACCTGAGTTTATGAAACCTTGCACATGTGAAAAATCAGTCAATCAAAAATAGAAATAAATAAACATAAGTTCTGTAAGACAAAAACAGCAAGTCACAGGTTCTCAAAGGCATCGTATTTGAGGTGGAACCAAGCATCCCTGCTCTGAATAAATGTCCATTGGTCAACCACTGAAAACAAGGTTTTTTGAGAGCCCCTGAATTAGGCCTTGAGATCAGTGACCCTATTCTATGTTTCCAAAGATCACATGTTTATTGTATGTCTCCATTCATGGCTTTGGCTGTTCTCTTTTAGTTTTAGGGCCCACAACTTTCCTACAGTAATTTGACATGTAAGTGATACTTGCCATTTCTGACATTTCTGGGGTGCAGAGTTAAAAGCTGCTGACCTAGAAGGCGAATCTTCCTCTTCTGTGGCTGGGATGTGTCACCTATCATCCTGGGCCTTGGTTCCGTCAACTAGAATGTGGCTACACCAAAAAAGAAAATCTTTAAAGATTGTACTTGTCTGACACATGATTATTTAGAGTAAGGGTAGATAGTATTGTTGGTGTTATTGTTATTTAGTAGCATAGAAACCCCAGAGGAGTTAATAGAGGTTATGAGTTAGCAGTGAGGGGTTGGTTAGGGCATAGAGAGTCACTGCTAACAGTGAATCATATACCCCTCTTTCACTCTACCCCTCACTAGTGTATGCCGTAATTCTTAGACAAAAGCAAATCAGATTGCTATAATAACATCTCATCTTATGCAAGAGCTAAGTACAAAGTCATGTTCTAGAGTTAAGGTCAGAACCAACACTGCCCTTTTGAGAAACTCCTCCAAGCCATCTTTAAAATGAAGTCCAGCAGAAATTTTTCATAAATCCAGTTTCTCCTACAGGGATGGAAGGGACTGAAATGTCTTATAGCCCCAGGTGTAGATCTCTTGTGTATAGGGGCTGTGTCTTCAGACAAAAACACATGCAGAACTAGTCACCATTGTGGTCACTTTAAGCTCTGTTCAGGAGAAGCACTTAGGAACTGAGAATGACTGTGGGAGATACTAGCTCATGTCCAACTGAAGTTCACACTCAAGTATATACCCATTGGTGACTCCCACATCCATGTTCTTCAAAGGAAGCACAGATGGGGTTGGAGAGATGGCTCAGTGATTAAGAGCACTGGCTGCTCTTGTAGAGAACCTGGGTTCAGTTCCCAGCACCCACATGGTGGTTAACAATCATCTATAACTCCAATCCTAGGGAATCTGGCACCTTCTTCTGGCCTCTTTGGGCATTGCACACATATGGTGCACTTACATACATGCCGATAAAACACATAAAATAAAAATAAGTAAATACAAATAAATTTAAAGGAAGCACAGTGAGTTGCTTATATACTTACTAAACATAAGATGCAAAACTGCTGTCTGAGTAAGTTTTTTATCGAAACTTTGCATATGTGAAATGCAAGAGTCAATTTTTAAAAGTGATCCACTTCGAAGGGCTGGTAGGATAGCTCATAGGTAAAGGAGCTTGCCTCACAAGCTGACATGAGTTCAATCCCCAGAACTTATGTGAAGGTAAAAGGAAAGAATCGATTCCACAAAGTTGTTCCCTGACTTTCACATGTGTGCCGTGGCACATATACCAACAAACTATTCACTTTTAATCACACCACAGGGTCTTGTAGCTAGAGGCACCCTCAAAACTTGGGCTCTTCATGGGGGGTAGGAAAATAAATATATTTTCTCATACAGGGGAAGCCAAGGAGAAGAGATAGACTGAGGATTTTAAAAAAATGAAGCATACATATATAAAAAATGGAGGGGGGTACTGTGTATATAAAACTTTTCCTGGGAGCCTCTGCACTTTTTACCCACTTCAGAGGTTCAGAATACCTTTTCTAACTCCTAAAGAGTGACTTTTGTTCCCATTTCCCACAGCTTGACAGAAGTGACTCAATACATCACATGAGCCACTCCCAGGCACAGCCAGAGCTACCCCCTCTGCCACTGTCTGCAAATGAGGAACCATCTGAACTCTATGAGGTAAATATTCCTGGCTGCCAGCTCTTCCAGTGAGAGAGACAAGGTAAAGAACACACTTTGCCTTTCTAGGTATTCAGCTAGTTCTAGTAGGGTACAAATAATCTTGACAAGTGGGTTAGAGCTTTCGTCATTTTGTCACCAGAAGAGGTTGCAACAGTTGAAGATAAAGAGGTATGCATTATATACAGGTGAATTCGAATCTGGCCTTGTCTTTTCCCTACCACATTATAGAAACTCTCTGAACTTCTGCATCTTCGCTTGAAAAATGAGAGTGGTTATGTATCCCTTACAGCCATGGCCATAAGGAATGAAAGTAAGGGTAAATCATCTAACTCTCAGGCATTGAATGCCAGCTGTTTTTCTTGGCATCAGAAATCTTCCACAGAGCACAGCTGCTGTCCACACAGAATGTGTTTCCATTGAGTGTGCAGAAGGTAGACATGTAGTGTAAGGTGTGTAAAACTCATCTCTGTGGAAGCATGACCCAGGCTCACAGGGATATCCCTCATCATGTCTCTGCATTTTTTCCTTTATAGACGGTCATGTCACACAGCTTTTACCCCCCCTTGATGCAACACACATCATGGACTCTGGCCGTGCCCTTCAAAGAACAGCACCATCACCGTGGACCCAGTGACTCTATTGGCAACAACTATTCCTTGATGGCCAGAGACATGAAGCTGAAAGATCTGCTGAAGGTCTACCAACCAGTCACCATCAGTGTCCCTAGGGACAAGACCAGTCTGCCATTAGGTATTTGTGACAGTATGCTATATTTTATGCTTAATAGGGCTTTGGAGTGAAACTTCTACTCCGGGGTTATCTTCCCAGTTCAGTCTCTTGCTGCAACTAACCTTGAATCACTTCATAGAGCTTCACTCTTTCCATCTTTGAAATGGAAATTACTGCATCCGCTAACATTTATGGATCATTTACATACCTCAAGCACTGTTCTGTGTACTTATGCTATTGATGGGTGCATCACAAATTATTCCCAAATGTTGTAGCTTAAACCATTTTATCATTTCACAGTTTCTGGAGGTCAAGACTCTGGAGTTGACTTAACTGGATAGTTCAGGCTTAGGATCTCTCACAGTCACAGTCAAGGTGTCAACAGCCAAGATATCAACCCAGACCCTCGTCATCCAAATCCTAGGAAAGGATGCTCTTCCAAGCTCATGCACATTTGTGGGTCTGTGTTGACTGTGGTCATCATCATTGGTGTCTTGCCACAATGGCGGCTGCACAGGGCAGCTCACAACATGGCTTCTGGCTTCTATTCAAGTCAATGAGAAAGAAAGCAAGACCACCACCAAGTCAGGGACCCCAATAGTTTTTGGAGATTAACCTTGGAACTTTAATCATTTTACTGTATTCTGTTTGTTAGAAATGAATCACCAGAAAAAAAAATGTCAGAACAGGGCAATTTTCAAATGTTCATATGAGAGTCCATTGGAATTTCTTGACAAGGGCTTCCAAAAGGGCTCTATTGGGTTCCTCCTCATTTTTCTTTTGTTGTTTAATGAGTGTTTGGTGGGAATGTTCAAGAATCCCTTGATCCCAGTCAGAGCAAAAATGGCTGAAGGTAGCAGAAACATAACAAGGACCACTATCTGTTTTTATTTGCCAAGGAATTCCCATAAGGACTATGGCATATTTGACAGTCCTTATGGCATGAGACGCCATCTCACCAGAGCAGGCCAATGAAAAATGGACATTGGAATAAGTGTCAACAATATGATGGATATACTTGAGCTTCCCAAAAGGAGAAAAATGAGTGACATCCATTTGCTCTATGTTGACTTTTTTCTAGTTCCCTGTCTAGAACTTGTAATGCTAATTACTCTTACCTTTACTTCTTCACATCTCCTATTCATGATTCAAAGACTTTCTTCTCCCCTTAGCGATAAGAGTTATGTAATTTGGGAGTATTTTAGATAGACCCACTTGAAGGGGGTCTATCTAAAATTGCCTCACCCTGCTTCCCTGTTCAGCATGGAAGAAGCCAGAGGTCCCTATTGGCAATTTAGATAACCTCTTCAGAGGATGGTGTGATAAGAATAGGAAGTAGGAATTGGCTAGGCAGTTAGGGTAAAAAGACCCCAAAATCTCAGATGACGAAAGGTTTTAACTGAATACACCTTTGTCGTTGCATCATTTTTTTCCTTTCATAGTTGGTCATTATTCAAGGAGCATGTGTCACAAGATACAGTACAGAAAAGTTCATGTTTTTACTTAAATACACAATTATCCTCCCAGTTATAGTGGGTGGATTAGAGTTGATCATCTTTCTCTGTTGTGTCATATCAAAGTTTCAGAATTTTTAAAAGTATCACACAAACACTGAAGCAGTGAAGAGCTGATGGCTATGTTAGAGAAGGACATGTGCAGACATTAGCCGCACACCTGGCCTTCCATCTCCCAGATGGTAGGATGGACCAAAGACCAGAACTCCCAAGGACTCAGGAAGAGAAAGTGACCACGGGAATGAGAAAATAGCTGGATTTATTGTTGTTAAGAATGATCAAAACACCTTATATGCATGTATGAAATTCTCAATAAAGTTTTTGTAAAAGTTAAAAAAGAAAAAAAAAAGAAAGACAGCTAGATAAAACTAATAAATACATCTCATGGATTTAAACCACTGCCACATCACCAAGGCAACTAAGAAAAAGACTCTCTTTAAAAATATAAGCCATGGGCTGGAGAGATGGCTCAGCGGTTAAGAACACTGGTTGTTCTTGCAGAAGACCTGGGTTTGAATCCCAGCACCCACATGGCAGCTAACAACTGTCTATAACCCCAGTTCCGGGGGATCCGATGGCCTCTTGGGCATTGCATGACTTGGGTGCATTTACATAAATGCAGGCAATACACTCATACACATAAAAATAATAAAATATTTTTAAAAAATATAAGCCTCAAGTAAAAATGAAATAAGTGAAGTAGGGAAATTCACAGCAGTAGGAGACATAAGATTATGAATTTGTGCCACTCTTTTTTAAAAAAAGGAATAAAATTTGACTAAAATTCTAAAATCAGCTATTGTCTTCAAAAAACTCATATTTGTAGTCCATAAGGAAACAGACAAGAAGATGTGTTTACTTTAAAGCCACTTTTAATTTTCAACTCTCTTTTACGCTCAATTCATTCAACTGTGTCTGTGTTTATAGACAAAAAAGCCCACTTAGTTGAGGTATGAGTACCCTAAATCTTCATGCTTTGTTTCTTTCCATCATTCATAATGTTCTGGAATTATTTTGTTATGAATCTTTAAGGAGAATTGATAGATGTTTTACTTCTAAGAAAACACACAATGTTATTACTCTGAAAAAAATATTTCCGATTCTCATTCTTTCTCAAAGAAGTTGCTATATACTAACCAGGGGTTCTTAAACTGTTCTGACATCAGAGATCTCTTGCATTACCAAAGATGATTGAAATCCTAAATTGGTTTTTACTTGTATATTATTAATAGTTATATGATAAGACATTTAAAAATATTTACTACGAATTTGAATTAATCATTATTTCAATGTGTTAATAAAGTACTCGTGTTAATTTAAAAAAAAAGAACTGAATCACCAATAATCACTGAATATAAGGCCCAGCTTATATTAAAGTCATATCAGGAAGTGGGGATCATGGGAGGGGATGCAGTTTGGAAACTGCTCATCACAGTGTCTTGTAGGTATTAATTATTTCATCCTGCCATGTACACACATCCCTTGGTGATTTTTGTTAGATGTACTTTGGAGCCACTCAGTCTCTTCTGTCCTAAGCTCTTTTCTGTTTTCCATTTTTCCCTCTGTGATATCTGAGTGAATTCCTCAGCTATTATCTTCCAACTTACTAATTTCTCTTCAACTCTATTCAATATTGAGTTTATCATATATAAAAAGTGTTGTTTGGATGGTGTCCTGGTTTCATTTCTGTTGCTATGATAAAACACCCTGACTGAAAGCAGCTTGGAGAAGGTAAGGATTTAGTTGACTTACAGTTCCAGGTTACAGTCCATTATTTGGGGGAAGTCAAGGCTAGACTTAAAGCATCACATCCACAGTCAAGAACAGAGAGAGAATAAACACCTGGACCCTTCCTTGCTTGCTTGAACTCAGCCAGCTTTCTCTACTCTTACGCAGTTCAGGGACTAGTCAATGAAATGTCACTCATAGTTTTCCCACCTCAATTAACAATCAAGACAATCTATAGACATGCCCACAGGCCTGCCTGATCTAGATAATGCCACATTAAGACGGTCTTCCCAGGTGATTCTAGATTGTGTCAAGTTAACAGTTAAAATTAACCAGCACAGAGGGCAACATATTCCACTTTTCAGATTTTCTGATAGGTTCTACTTGTGATTTTTTTTCCAATTTCTTATTCTGTTTTTATAATCATAGCACTTTCAATATCATTTGGTGAACCCTTTAGAGTAGTCCTCAACAGAAGTCATGTAACTACCCCAATGTACAAGATCATACCTAGAAGCTTAGGTTTGATATTCTAATTACCCATACTTAATTTCTTAAGTCTGTTTGAGCTGCCATAATAAAGTACCATAGTCTGGATAGCTTATAAACAACAAATTTATTTATCACATTCTAGAAGCTGGAAAGTCTGAGGTCAAAGTACCAACAGATTTGGTATGTAATAAAGTCCTCACCCTGGTTCGGAAATGGTGTATTTGTTTGTTTGTTTTAGAAAATTTTATTGATTCAAGAATTTAATACAATAAATTTTAATTATATTCAGACCTCTTCCTCCATCTCCACCCTGATCCTCCACCCCTGACTTCATTTCGTCTCTTAGCAAATTTAAAACCTTATCCATCTTATATAATACATCTGAGCTGGGTGCCCAAGAAACCCTAGAGTGTCAGTGAGCTATAATTCTTACACAGAAGTGTGCCAAAGTAAGGAATCCTTTTCCTAATTTATAGGGGTTTGGGGTCAGAATACAAGAAATGGTTGTATTGTAGTTCTCTTTAATGGTGGAAGAAATCAAGGAATCTCTTGAAGAGGGGAGGTCTCTTATAAGGGCATTTAATTCCCAAAGACCAATGCCATTATATTAGAGATGGAGTTTCACCCTAAGAATTTGAGGGAGAACATAAGCATTCAGTCTACTGTTTACTGCCTTTCGTAGATAATAGTTTGAAATTATATTTTCCCCTTTGTATATCTAAAGTTGTTGGCATTCATGAGTAACTAGTGCTGGTACTTCCCAGATTTTATCGTCACAGGATTTCTCAGGCAAGCCAGTCTTTGAGCATGAGTTTCTGTGATGTTTTCTCTAGAACAGAGGCAGCCAGCAGACAAAAAACTGCTAAGTGGCTGTTATTCAGTTCCTGGATTGAGTTGATTTTTCTCTTGTCATTCATTAAAGGACACTCATGTTTGGAGAATCTTAAACATTTATTTTGGAATAATATTGGTAGCACTATATTCTGTGAGAGTTGCCCTTGATTGTTGAGGTTATTATTATTGGCTGTTTTTCTTGATATTGTTTTTGTTCCTCAGGGATTCTGAAGTTTTTTTTATTTTTTTTGGAAGCTTACATTGAGTTCCTCTGCTTCTAGCTGCATCTATCCTCCTGTTTATCGAGTTGTCATTCATACTCAATAAAATGGACAGATATTAATGTTAAGCTCAGTGAGTCTTGACAGTTATGAAGAGCTGCCACCCAAACTCGATAAAGAGCATTTTCAAACTCCCTTGTGACTCATTCTCATCAGATCTTTCCCTCACCCCACAGTATCCCACCCCAGAGTGACCACATCCTAGTTTCTCACCATGAATATATAATATATACTATAAATATAATCATCTATATGATTTTGATGTACCCTTTTAACTTTTTTTTAAAAAAGCAGAGTCTCACATGGGGTAGGCAGGTGCTCTGCCACTGAGCTATATCTCTAATTTCTTTTATTTTTTTACTTTGAATCAGATTCTAAGTTACCCAAGCTGGCCTTGAACTTCTGACCCTTCTGCCTTACTCAGCCTCCCAAGTACATGAGATCCAGACCTGAACTTGGCTTTTTTTTTT